GGTGAGGGCCACAGTGGGGGGCAGCCTCTACCCCCCACCCCCCACCCTCGCCCCAGGCAGAGCAGGGAGTGGCCCTGGCACCCAGCGCCAGCCTCCCATCAGATGGAGAGGCAGGCCATGCAGGGCAGTCCGCACCCCCGTACGCCACCCGGAGGGCCTTGGAGGTACAGGACTTGGGGCATCACGAAGATTCCAGGGAAGGGGACGCTACTGCAGCCGAGTGCTGTCCTGTGCTGGGGGACCACAGGGCCCCCTTCTTGGGTGTGGCCCAAGGACTAGAGAGTTTTATTTAGATGGGAGGCATATATTGGCACGCTTCGTGTGATGGTGGTAAGCCTGACACGTTTGCTCTCATTGCCCCACAAGCCACGTCCTCACCAAGAACAGCAGGGACCCAGAGGCTTCAAACCCTCCTGGAAGAGGCCAGAGTCAGTATTTTCAGCTCTGGGGCCCAGTCTCTGAGTGTTCAACTTGGCCCTGGTAGTGAAAGCACACACTTGGAAAATGAATGGCCGGGGCCATGTGCCAATAAAACTTTATTCATAAAATCAGTGGCAGGTAGAGTCTGCCGACTCTTACATAACCACCCCACAACAGCCATGCAGAGCAGGCTCTATGTTGTCTGTAGTCACACCGAGTGTGAGTGTCCAGCAGGTGCTGGGGGAGGGGGGCGTTGGACCCCAGGCTACCACTGGAGGGGCCACTTGCCATCCAGGGTGCCGGGTAGGGTCGGGTCCAGGCCATCTCTGCTGGGGGAACCCTCCACTGTGCTCCCTGGTGGGCATCTCTGGGTGTACCCGAGAACTTGGGATTGACAGCCCCGTGAAGCCCAGAGCCTGGAGCCTGCTGAGCCACACGGGGCCTCAGGGCATGCTGAGACCCAGCGAGCCAGGACTTGGTGGGGGGCAGGCGGGAGGGTCTCACCCCCACGTGTCCTTTCCACGTCCTCTGCACAGACCTGGCTCCAGGCATTGACGAGATCTATGAGGAGAGCCAGCAGGTCTTCCTGGCCCCCGGGCACCCACAGGACGGGCAGGTGGTCTTCTACAAGGTGAGGAGACACAGACCCTCCCAGCGCACGCAGGCCGGCCCCACCGCCAGGGCCCCTCGGCTGCTCTAAGCCCTCATGCTCTTGCAGATCAGCGTGGACCGTGGCCTGAAGTGGGACGAGGCTTATGCCCGGTCGCTGGAGCTGACGGGCACCAACGATGGCTTCTACCTCTCCTTAAAGGTGGGCGGCTGGGTGGCCTCCCGGGTCTCCAGGGGCAAGACCCCAGCGGAGGGGAGTGGGCAGGGGAGGGGCATGGGAGGGAGGGAAGCAACTCCCACCTCCCCGCCCCATGCGCATGCCTCCCCAGGTTCGGGGCAACAAGCTGAGCTGCCTCCTGGCCGAGCAGAACCGCGGCAAGCACTTCACCGTGTACAAGCCTAACGTGGGTCGGCAGAGCCAGCTGGAGACGTTCGACAGTCTGTGCCGGAAGTTCCGCCGGGTACGCGTGGGGCCGAGGGGCCGGGTACCCGTGGGTCTGAGGGGCCGGGGTGCGGGCCGAGGAGCCGGGTCTGCGTGGGGCCGAGGGGCTGGGGTGCGGGCAGAGGGGCCGGGTCCGCGTGGGGCCGAGGGGCCAGGTACCCATGGGTCTGAGGGGCCGGGGTGCGGGCTGAGGGGCCGGGTCCGCGTGGGGCCGAGGGGCCGGGGTGCAGGCCGAGGGGCCGGGTCCGCGTGGGACCGAGGGGCCGGGGTCCGCGTGGGGCCGAGGGGCCGGGAGGGTGCGGGCTGAGGGGCGCCTGTTGCTCCGGGTGCTCCTGGCGGGCCCTCCGTGTGCGGGTCCCCTGGCAGCCCGGGGCGCAGTGCACTGGGGGGCGTGGCGGCCGCCGGGGCAGGTGGTCACGTGGCTGCGTGTCCCCAGGTGACGGCGGAGGAGGCCAGGGAGCACTGGGAGAACAGCTACGCCTTGTCGCTGACGCACTGCAGCCACACCGCGTGGTGAGGGCCAGGGTGGGACCGGCGGGGTGCCCTCCCTACGGAGCGGCTGTACGCTGGGGGGAGCGGGGGGGCCGGGCAGGAGGGGGCGTGTCCGGGAGCCCCGCGAGGAGCGCGGCGGGGCGCGGCGCCGCTTGGGCTCTGAGCCTGGCCTCCCGCCCGCGGCGCAGGAACCGGCACTGCCGGCTGGTGCAGGAGGGCAAGGACTGCGCGCAGGGCCTGCGGCTGCGCCACCACTACATGCTGTGCGGCGCCCTGCTGCGCGTGTGGGGCCGCATCGCCGCCGTCATGGCCGACGTCACCAGCAGCAGCTACCTGCAGATCGTGCGCCTCAAGACCAAGGACAAGAAGAAGCAAGTCGGTGAGCGCGCGGGCACGCCCGCGGGGGTGGGGGCGGCGGGCGCCGCCGCGGGGGCCCTGACCGCCCGTCCCGGCCCCCAGGCATCAAGATCCCCGAGGGCTGCGTGCGCCGCGTGCTGCAGGAGCTGCAGCTCATGGATGCGGACGTCAAGCGCAAGAACGCGCGCTGCCGGGGCTTCCCCGCGCCGCTGCCCGCCCTGCGCCCGCTCGCGCTGCCCTGCGGCCCCGGCGAGGTTCTGGACCTCACGTACAGCCCGCCGGCCCAGGTCTTCCCGCCGCCCTCGCCCTTTGCCTTCCCGCCCCCGCCCCCGGACCCCGCGCCCGCCCCGAGTGGCCTCCCGCTGGGCGCCCCGGACACTGCCGCGGACCCCGCGGCCCTGGCGCACCAGGGCCGCGACATCAACTTCAAGGAGGTGTTGGAGGACATGCTGCGTTCCCTCAACGCCGGGCCGCCCACCGTTCCCCCTGGGCCGGGCGCAGGGGCAGCAGGGGTGCCCGGTGGGGGCGGGGGCGCCGAGCGGCAGAGCGTCATCCAGTTCGGCCCCCCCTTTCCAAACTCCTAGGCCGGGCAAGCGACCGGCAGCCGGTGTCCGAGAGGAAGCTTAGTTACCTGCAATACGCACCACGTCCACGGGGACTCTCCTACCCACATGGGTGGTAGCGGGGCCAGGCTCCCCCGCTGACTACCAGGGAGGGGGCCTGCGGTGCCCCTCCTCCAGTTCCGGAGGCCTCCACTGCAGTGCCTTCCCTGCCGGCGGCTGGGCAGACCCCTCAAAATGCTGCCCGCCCTTCCGGGCTCTCCGAGGCAGTGCAGGTCCCACTCAGGATGACTCGGGGTCTAGGCTTGGGCCGGGCCTGGGGATGGGGGGCCCACCCTCCCTGTGCCTCTGTCCTCTCCTGCCCCCAGGCCTAGGCAGGGGCTCCCCGACCCACCTCACCCCACCCACCTGACAGGGCCTGGTCTGACCGGAACCCCTGAAATCCACAAAACTGGGTGGCCCCAAGAGCTGGAAACTCAGGAAACCCCAGGTGCTCAGGGCCCTGCCTTCTCTGGGGGGCTCCATGGGACAGACCCCTCCCCCCATTAATATATGCAATTCTTCCCCACTCTGTTTGCTCCCTAAATTATTGCCCGGCCACCTCTCCCAGGCCCCAGAATCTGCCGTGGAGCTGGCGGTGTGGACGGGCCCCCTGGTTTCTATGTGTATTTATAATGAACTCGTGTACATATGTAAAGAGATCTTTTTTAAATATATGTGCCTTTTCACTACTTCCCAGATTGTCTGCTTCTCCAGCCTGCAGAGATAGCGGGGAGGGGGGGGGGCCGCGGCATGCCTCCTCCAGGAGCATTTAGCTGATGCCCGCAGTGACCCCACTCAGGGGTGGTCGAGGTGGCTGTCACCTGTGGAGGGCATCCGGGGTGGGTGAGACCAGCCCACTCCTCTCCCAGGCCCATGTGAGGCCAGGCTGGAGGAGGCAGGTCCCCCAGGGGCCACTGTCTGCTGTCATCCTGTCACCAGTGTGGCAGGCCGGCTGCTTCCGGGCTAGCCGTGCCAGGCTATGGTGGCTTGGACCGGACGTTGGTCGCCTCCTGCCTGCTTGACACAAACCCCGCCTGGGACGCTCCTGGTGGTGCCCTGAGACCAGTTTCTCCCATCGCTGGTGTGCCCAGCTGTGGTCCCCACTTTGGTTTTTTCCCCAAGGTTGCCTCAGGCAGGTGGGGTAGCCCAGGAGCAGGAGGGCCCTTCCTGGAAGGAGCTGGCCCCTTCCTGGAAGCCACCAGGGAACATACTTGGGTCTGGCCCTGAAGTTAGAAGGGTCTGTCACCCGCCAGAATGTGGGCAAGTGAGGAGCCAGGAGACCCCAGGGGAAGCAGCTTAGGGTGGCTGGGGTTGCTCTCAACCTGGTTATTCCAATCCTCCAGCCCCACCCCTGTGCTACTGACCTTTACTGCAGATACTGGAAATGGGGGAGGGGGGATGCGTAGGCAGGGCAGGCTCAGCCACTCTCCAGCCATGCCATCCCCCACCCCCTCGCCAGGAGGCCCACAGCCTCCCAGGCCCCCCAGAACAGGGACAGGGGTCCATCCAAAGGACCCTCCTGGCCTCAGGCCATTCCCCACCCCTCCTGGGGCGAGGGGGCTGTAGACAACACTCCCCTGCCTCTGTCAGATGAGGCCCCGTGGGCGGGCCTCAGTGCCCTGACTCAGTGTCCAACAATGAGGCCAGTGTGCCCGGCGTGGCTCTGTGCCCAGACCAGCTTGGCCTGATGCTCAGCCCCAGATGCCTGGCTCCCCCAGTGGGCAGAGCCCACAAGGCCCAGGCCCCCTGACCTTCCTCTCCGGGCACTGGGGAAGACTGGCCCCAAGCAGGCCCTGAACAGCGGTCTCCCAGCAGGTTAACACCCTGGGCCAGGAGTAACAGCCAGTAAATCCTATTACCTCCTCCAGGATCAGCTCTGCCTGCACTCAATGGGTGGGGCTGCTAAGATTAGCAGCAGGGCCCCAGGGCAGACACAGCCCTAGGAGCCCAGGGCGCTCAGAACTCAGGAAAGCCTGGGGAGCTGCCGGGACCTGCCCCTGAACTAGAAGGGGCCCGGGGCAAAAGGCTCCCCCACCTGCCCCCCAACCCCACCCCAGGGAGGCAGGAGCACGCAGCAGGCCAATCTGTACGTTTTATTCCCACAAGATAACCAGGGGTGGGGGGGGCGCCAAGCCTCGGGCCGGGCCGAGGAACCTTCCTCCGGCGGGGGGTGCACGCCGAGTTCTCGGGTCTGCCCCACCAGCGGGCTGGTTTTCAGGCAGACCGTCATGGGTGCCGGGTAGAAGGCTCCGAGGGGCAGGGGCCGCGGGGGGGGCGCATACTTGTGGAGCTAGAGGTAGCAGGGCAAGTCCTTCTCTATTACCTGTGGGGAAAAGGGGGGTCAGGGGTGGCCTCTCCCCTCGGCCCCCACCCCCAGAAGGCTCAGTGGAAAGGTACCTACCAGGGGCTCTTCCATGGGGCCATAACGCTTCACCACACAGCCGTTCTTGTCAATGAGGAACTGCCGAGAGAGGCCACGTCAAAGTGGGGGAAGCCAGCAGTCGGGGGGGGGGGAGGTTCTAGGGGGGGCTGGGGGCAAGCAGCCCCCCACCTGCTGCCCCATTTGGGCCAGGGCTGGAGCACTTTGGAGCAGGGCACTGAGCTATGGCTGAGGAGACAGGGGCCCCGGGGACAGGAGCCAGCCCTGGACACAGTCCTGGCGGGTCCCCCCTCCCGTCTCCCCCAACTCCCAGTGTCCCCTTACCTTGGTGAAATTCCATTTGATGGCACTACAAAAGCAACGCGAAGTCGTGAGGAATCTGGTGGCAACGGCGATCCCCCCACCCCCGCCCCACCCGGGGAACCGCCCTTCCCTCTCCTCTCCCCTCCCCCAGCCTCCCACTCACTTTCCCAGGATGCCCCTGCCCTTGGGCTGGACTTTCATCCACTTCCACAGCGGGTGAGCATCGTCCCCGTTCACACAGATCTTGCTGTACATGTCGAATTTGACATTATAGCCAGCGGCGAACTCTTTGATCTCCGCATTACTCCCTGGCTCCTGTGGCAAGCAGGGGTGTGGGGGTGAGTGAGGAGGAGCCTGTGCTCCCGTTGGTCCCCTCTCCCCACACCGGGACACCCGGGGACACAGCCAGGGACACAGCCAGCCACGCACCTGCCTCCCGAACTGGTTGCAAGGGAAGGCCAGGATCCGTAAACCGCACTCAGCGAATCGGGCGTGCAGGTCGACAAGCTGAGTGTAGTTTACTTCTGTTTTGCCTCATTGCGAGGCCACGTTGGTGACGATGCACACGAAGCCCCTGAAGGTGAGATGGGCCGGTGAGGCCAGGTCAGGGCCACCAACCTTTCCCCTGCCTCTCCCACCGGGCACTTGGGTACCCACCGGTACTTGTCCAGGTTAACCATGCGTCCATCGATGTCCTTGGCGGAGAACTCGTGCATAGACTGAGCACAGCGCCAGTCGTCTCGGGACGCGCACTGCAAGGCAAGGGCGCATGAGCGGCGTGGGGACTTCGGGCCGCCGAGCCCGGAGCCCACTGCCACCTGGCCCACTCGCCCGGCCCGGGGTCCCCGGAGGAAGGGCTCCCAGGCGGATCCGCGCCGAGAAAACCAACTCCCCAGGGCAAGGAAAAACTGAGGACTCCTCCTCCTCAAGGGTGCACGCCCTTTGCGCAAGAGCGCACATTGGAGAGAAGACACTGAGGCCCGGAGAGGGCTTGGGGCCGCGCCAGGTGCCCCGGCGACGGGGCTGGGGCGGCGCGCGCACCGGGTCTGGGCACTCGGCGCTACAGCCGCTGTCCCAGGTCGTGAGCTCCGCCTGCCCTGGCCTCTCGAGACAGGGCTCCTCCCGCCGACGGCGCGCCCTCTTGCGCCCGCAAGCCCCCGCCTTCCGCCGCCGGGGGACTCGGCGCCGCCGCCGCCGCCTGCCCCGCTCCCGGCGCCGCTGCCCCCTGCGACCCGGGGAGCCGGCGGCCGCGCGGCCCATGCCCGACCGCCTCCGGCCGCGCCTGTGTCCACCGAGGGCCGCGCCCGGGGGACAAAAAGGGCCGGTCGCCAGGGCGCCCGGCCGCCCGTCTGTGACGCCACCAAGCAGGGCCCCGGGGCCGCGCAGGGAGGGGGAGGGGCGGGGACGTCCCGCGGCGCGTGACCCGGGGTTTCCAGCCCACCGGGCGCCCTCCGCTCGCCGGGCCCAGCCGGGGACGCCAGCGGCCGAGGGCGCCCAGCCCCCCGCGGCCTCGACGCCGCCGGCCTCGCGCGGCCCGCAGGCACCCAACGGGGGTTCCGGCCGCCCAAGCCCTGCTCCCGAACGGCCCCCGCCCGAGCCCACCGCGGCCCCGCGCGCCCGCCCAACGGCCCCTCGGCCCGCCGCCGGCGCCGCGCTCACCATGGTGCTGGCCAGACCCGGCGCGGCCAGGGCCCCGCACAGCAGCGCAGGTTTCAGCAAGCGGTACAGGCGGCTGAGGTTCATCACGGCGGCGGGGGCGCCGGAGGCAGCGGCTCCTCCCCTCGCCGAGCCGACCAATGGACGCGCGCCAGGGGGCCTCTCCTCCCCGCCCCAAGCCACGCCCACGTACCCCTCATTGGCCGGACGCGCGGGCGTGGCGGACCCATGGTGACGCCAGCCAATGGGAGGCCGGGGCGAGGGGCGGACGGGGTCGAGGCCGGGGCCAGGAGGCGGTGTCACTGCCGTGGGCGACTGCGCATGCTCGCCGGCGGGCGGACTGCCGGGTCCACGCAGGCGGCGCGTTGATGGGTTTAGGACAGTTATCCGGGTGGTTGACCGCAGCACCGCGGGATGCCTGACAACTTGAGATAGTACCGGAAACCCGTGGTGGGGGGCTCGAACTCGCAGGAAAACCGCCCCAGCTCTTTGAACACCGGAGGTTTTCTTTTAAAGTCACACGGGGTCGGACTCCGGCTCCCTCGCGACTGCGGTGTCGCTGCGGGGGCGCCTCGCCCGGCCCGTGGGCCCAGAGAAGGCCCGAGCCCACCCAGCTCGCCCTTAGAATGGGCACGTGAGCCGGGGGGCACTAACCAGGTGACCGTTAGCGGGCCCCGGCGGCCTCGAGGACGCGCAGGTGTGTGCCTGGCGGGTGTGCGCCCGGCAGGGGCAGCACACGCCGCAGAGAGTCGTCTGCGCGCCCCACGGTGCACGGCGGTCCGCGCACGGGGCCGGAGTGCTCGACCTCTGGGCTTACGACTTGTTTTCACTCCCGGTTCTGGCCTTTGGCCCGGGCGGTACAGAAGACAGACCCGCCCAGTCTTAGGACCCGAGTCAAGGAATTCCTCAGCGGCCCGGCCGCCCCCACGCCCACCCCACGCCCGGCCGTGACTGGACTTTGACCTGTGCTGCATCTCGCCCCCTCCCGGGCCCTCCGGGGACCTTGGCTGCAGAGGCCACGGGCACAGGACTCTCTGGGCTTGGCTCACTTGGGGAGCCAGAGAGACCCCCTGTCTGCCTCCCCCCCAGGCCGCCCAAGTGCCGGCCAAGTTTGGTGGTGAAGGCAGCGGAATGGGGAAATCCATTCCAGGGGCCGCTTCCCCATTCCTGGTCTTGCACGACCTCCGCACAGGGCTTCCTACCTCCAGCCTGGCTTGTCAGCGGCACCTCTTGGAGGGGAGCCCCCATTGTCTCTGCTGGGCAGCCTCGTTTCTCAAAAAGCACCCAGTCCCCCTTTACTTCTGCCTCCCTGGAACGACAGGGTGGCATGGCCACATTGGTCTGACTCACTGGAACTGTGCTCAGGCCTCGCCAGCGTCCCGGGGGTCCTGAGGCCCACCTGCTCCCATGAGCCCTTTTTCCTCCCTCTTCCTAACGTCCACAGTCCTGTTGCTGTCTCCACCTGCCACCCATGCCTGAGCCCTCCCGGGGGACCATCCAGGTCAGCCCTCCTTGGGCCCAGCCGCCCCTGGCCCCAGGTTCCAACAATCCTGCCTAATCCCCTTACTCAGATTTGCCCATCATTCCAGCAACCTAGACAGATGCCATTTCTCCCATCTTAAAATCCACTCCTAGCCCTCTCCCTGTCCGCCTTTGGCCCCCTCTCTCCTTGGCATCTACGTCCACACCTCCAGCTCCTTTACTCCCATAAATCCCACTCTGGTCGGGCCCCCTCCTCATCTGCCCTCATCAGGGTCACCAGTAATGTCTGCTTGTCTAACCCCCCGCCTAATCTTCAGGTCTGCTCAGACTCGCTGTTTGGTGGCCTTGTTGATCACTTTCCCTCCTCCTCCTCCAGACACCTTCTTCACCGCGTTGGAGGGCACCTGGCAACCTCTTTATTCCACTTCAGGAGGGTTCATGTAATACAGCTGGTACTTGGTGCTGCAATCAGTAGCCAGGTCCCCTGGGAAGTGGGTGCTGTTCTCGTTCCTGTCCCACAAGGCAGGGGGAAGGGAGGCATTTAGGCAGAAAAGGGTTGAGTAATGTGCCTCAGTTCCCGGGGCCAGGATTGGCCGCTGCTTCAGGGTCTGTGCCCTCCCCTCCTCTTGGCCTCTGAATCTTGGCAACGTTTCGGATCTGTTTGGTGACCTCATCCAGGCTCCAGTCTCCAGTGACTCCCACATGCCTGTGTCCACTTGGACCTTGCCCTGGATTCCAGACTCCATACCCCATTGTCTCCTTGACATTTCTCCTTAGGGCAACAAGAACCTCCTTCTTTCTCTCTTTCAATTTTATTTTATTTTTTTAAAGATTTTATTTACTTATTTGACAGGGAGAGCCAGAGAGCACAAGCAGAGGGAATGGCAGCAGGAGAGGAAGAAGCAGGCTCCCCACTGAGCAGGGAACCCTATGTGGGACTCCATCCCAGGCCCCTGGGATCACGACCTGAGCCAAAAGGCAGACGCTTAACTATCTGAGCCACCCAGGCAACCCTCTTTCTTTCAATTTTAATTTTAATTTATTTTTTTTATTTTATTTTTTTTTAAGATTTTTTATTAATTTATTTATTTGACAGAGAGATAGAGAGCACAAGTAGACAGAGAGGCAGGCAGAGGGAGAGGGAGAAGCAGGCTCCCCGCGGAGCAGGGAGCCCGATGTGGGACTTGATCCCAGGACCCCGGGATCATGACCTGAGCCGAAGGCAGCCGATTAACCAACTGAGCCACCCAGGCGCCCAATTTTAATTTATTTTTAATCTATGCCAATGTGGGGTTGGAACTCATGCTCCATCAACTGAGCCAGCCAGGTGTTCCTGGAGCCCCATTCTTTTTTTTTTTTTTTCAATTACTTATTAGAGAGAGAGAGTACATGAACGAGTGGGGGTTGGTGCAGAGGGAGAGGGAGAGAGAGAATCCCAAGCCAACTCCCCACTGAGCCGGGAGCCCAACTCGGGGCTCAATCCCATGACCCTGAGACCATGACTCTGCTGAAATCAAGTCAGAAGCCTAACCAACTGAGCTACCAGGCTCCCCCTGCCCTCTGCCCCCAGAGCCCCTTTCTTATCTGCCGCCTACACCTGTTTCTCCCTGGTCTGTCCGTCCTGGTCCCAGCAGCGCTCTTCCTCCTCCCTCTCTGTCTCTTTCTTCTCTGCATCCTGTCCATCTGCAAATCCTGTGGGGTCCACCTTCAGAACACCAGGAGCCTGCCCACGGCTCACCCCTACCCCAGCTGGAGCCCCCATCTGTGGCCAAGTGGCCCTCCCTTGTCCCCTGCCTGGTCTCTCTGCTGAAATGCTGACGGTGGCTGAAAAAGAAAACCCAAGCTTTTCACCCCAACCCACAAGGCCTCCCAGGGTTTGCCCCACTACACCCTCTAACCCGCTCTCCTCCCCCTGCCCCCACAGGCCTCCTTGCTGCCAACACACCGGGCAGAGTGAAGCCTCAGAGCCTTTGCACTCACACAGCTTCCTCCCTCTCCTTTGGCCTTTTGCTGGACTCTCTTGCTCCTTGCCTTCCCTGGCCTCCCCGCTGAAACTGAAAATCTCCCATCTGGCTCAGCTCCCGAATTCCATTGCACTGTCTGTCACCTTCTAATGCTCTTGTTGTGGTCGAGATTTCTATTTTGTCTCCCTGGAATGTAAGGGGGGCTTGGCCTGTTTTGTTCACCGTCTCTGGGAATGTTCGGCTGAAAGAGAAGTTCCTGATGGCCTCCAGCGGGGCGAGCACTGAGCAGGGAGAAGGGCGGATGCACAGTCGAGGCTGGGGCTGTGGATATGCAGGCAGAGGCCTGCTGGGTCTCAGGGGATAGGACAGGGGGGAGCATTTCCTGAGCCCAGGGGCTGTGCCAAGCTCCGTCCCTTTAGATTCTCAGCTAACTCTCTGAAACGGGGACACTTTATTTCCATTATACAGAAGGGAAAACTGAAGCTCCCGGGCATTAAGTTGGACGCGGCCCACAGCAGTTGGATGCATATTTATGGAGGGCCTGCTACGTTGCCCGGCCGTCCCTGGGAGGCAGGCGAGGAGACTGCTGACCGCGTCCGAGCTCCAGCTTCCCCGCCCACACCTCGCTTCTGCCTCTCCCGGTTCTAAACTCCCTACCCGGACGGGCGCTGAGCCGAAACTACAACTCCCGAGAGGCCCCGCGGCCAAGGCCGCGCGAGAACTGCCGGGGCGAGAGTGGGCGGTTCCGTTCGCTCGGCTCGCGCGCAGCCAGCCGGCGCCCTCGGAAGGCCCGGGCTGCCCTCGGCGCCGCCGCTCCCGAAGGTCTCTGGGGCCAGGCGTTCGCTGTCGACAGCCCTGCACGGGGCGGCGCGGGGGCTTGGCTCGGCGCAGGCGCAGTCGGCGCGGGCTCTGCCGCGGGCTCCGGCGCGTTGACGGGGGCGGCGGCGGCCATGGACGACGAGGAGGAGACGTACCGGCTGTGGAAGATCCGCAAGACGATCATGCAGGTGCGGCTGCGCGGCTGGCGCGGGGAGGGCGGGCCTCGCTGCGCCGGGCGAGCCGGGCCGCGGCGGCTCGGGGGGGCGGCGGGAGCGGGGAGGGCGGCGGGGAGCGGGCCCCGCGGGGCTGCGGCCGGCCCGGGGAGGGGCTCAGTCGAGCTGAAGAGGGGAGGCG